CGCAATTGCCCGAGAATTGAGACAATTAAATTTTACTAAAATAGTTTCATTAGCACCCGAGGTATTATAAGACGAAACCATGATATGAATATATTATTTTTGTGAGAAATATATTATTAGTTAATATATTTTATCTAAAAAATATCCTTTTTGTAGTAATTCTTATTTTTAATAATTCTTATAGGTATTAAAAGTAGCAATTTTTTATTTATTTTAAATTATTATATTTATGTATGGATTCATCAGGATGATACTTGTTCTTAAAGATTCACTTACAACCAATGAGTTTTGCTATTTATGCAAATATGCTAAAGTCCAAGTATTTTTTTTAACTGAGTCAATTTCAGTCCTAATGACCTTATTCCAATGTGTTGCATTAGAAGCACTAGTAACCTCTAAATAACTCGTTAGATCATTTTCAATTAGATAAGTATAAAATCATCTCCAAATGAGATTTTCTTTCTCTGTCTTTTACTTCTCCTTAAGTCCTCATACATGTCATCACTATTAATATCTAAAATTTGTTTAAGTGTCTCACTAACATTTTAAGGAAAAATATGTTCAAAGAATTCAACATTTTTTGTCTCCTCTACAGTATTATATTCAATTACATTATTTTTAGGGACAATAAATCTATAAGCAACACAATGTTCCGCATAACCTATGAGCATACAGTAAGAAGTTTTAGAGTCTATTTTTCTTTTCTTAGGGTCAGGTAACATTGTCTTAGATAGGCACCCCATACTCTTAGGTATTTAAGATTAAGTTGATAACTTTTCCATAACTCATAGGGAGTTTTACTAGTTTTCTTATGTGGTATCCTATGTTGTAAAAAAATGTTGTAAGTAGAGCTTCTCTTTAAAGGTTATCAATGAACTAAAATTAACAAACATGACATTCATCAATTTTTTAAGAGTTCTATTTTTTCTCTCAAATACTCCATTAGACTCCAGTGAATATGGTGCGGTCACTTCGTGAACAATACTTTTTAACACAATAATCATTAAATAATACATATTAACCACCTCTATCTTATTTAATCCTCCTAATTTTTATGTTTAATTGTTTTTCTACTTCTACTTTATAGGTTAAGAACATGTCAAACGCTTTATCCTTATGTTTGATTAAGTATACTTTGATATATATAGAGTAGTCATCTATAAATGTTACAAAATAATTTTTATCACTTCTAAACATTATTTGTTTTTTTTATCAGTTAGATCAATATGAATCAATCCTAAAAGTTCAGTTTAACATTCTACAGATTGACAAATTTTCTTGGTTATTTTAAATTCTACACATATATCACATTTCTGTTTATCATGCATATTAATTAATAGTAATCATTGCAATTTTATAACATACGATCAATTTACGTGTCCTAATCTAACATGTCACACATATGAATCAATAATACAAGTAGAAGAACCATATTCATTAATAACTTAAGAGATGTTAAGTACAAAAAGACATTTATCATAATATCTCTTCCCTAAAAACACATTATTTTTTATCATACAAATTTTATCAAATTTGAATGACATTTTAACCTAAACTTTTCCGAGTAGTGCTACAAAGATTAAATTAATTGATGATACATGTAGCACATCACTCAAGCCCAGAGTTTTCCCATATGTGAGCTTCAGAAGAATTTTTCATTTTCCTAAGACAGGACTTGTCCTTGAATTACCCAGATAAACATGTTTTTCTCTATCTCCATACTAGTGTAGGAGGTAAAAGTATTTCTGTTTGCAAATATGTGTCATAATGTTTATTTGAAAAACGACCAGTATCTTCTCCTTCGACTAAATTTTTCTTAGGAAGATTGTCGTTTTTTATTCTATATCTACACTGAAGTGCATGGTGACCTGACTTTCCACATACAAAGTAATTTCCCTTCTTCTTAAAGGTGAGGTTAGATCCATTAGGTCGAGAATATTATTTTTCTTCTTATGATTAGCTTTTTTCTCGTACATTTTTTGAACTAGTTTGTTTTCTATCATATTTGTCTTAGCTGATAATACATTAGCCCTTGCAGCAGCACACACCTTCCTGTTGATATCTTTGATAATGATGTACGTAATGAGATATGATAGTAACATCTATTTATGCTTGTGCTTCAGCTATTGTTTATAGTTTGTCCAGGATTATGGAAGTTTTTTTATTAGAAGTTCTGAGACAAACTCATCAAGTAGGACTATATTTTCTAGTTTAATATTTTCAAGCAGTTTGTGGTACTCATTGGTCTGAATCTTGATATCCTTGTTTGCTAGCATCTCTCAACGGTAGTAATTTTTTATAATGAACATTTGTCTCCCGATATATTCGACAGTGTATTTGAAAATCAATGAATCTCAAATATCCTTGCCTTCCCTATAAGAACAATACACATTAAACAAATTATTAGACTATGCACTAAGCAAAGTGTGTCAACATACTTTGTGTTGAATGAATTCAGTCTTTAATCTGTTTAACAGTTTTTAATCTTTAATCTGTTTAACAGGAATGCATTCCTGACAGTATCAGAAGTTTTGTCCAGTGAAAAATTCGATTTTTGAAAAGTTCGAGATAGGTTTGGCAAAGACAGTTTAAGTTCTGGAAACGTTGTTTGTCTTTTTTGGTGTAGAGTTGTTGTTAGTATCTATATTATCAGCCATAAGTCCTTAAAATTGTTGTAAATACTGACAAAATACCACAAAAACTTGATTCTTAAGACGTGTATAATCATTATCTTTAAGAACTTATCTGTGATATATTATGCAAGTCTCCCAAGATATAATAGAAATTTTGAGAATTTTCTAAGGAACTTAGAATCTAACAAGTAACTATTAAAACAATATATAAACTCAGGATAAAAATAAAATAAAAATGAGAAAAGAAAAGACGAGTAAAATGTGTGTGTTTTAAAAGAATGTGGAATAGTCTATTTATAAGTGTAGTATGATTTCAGAAAACTCAACCTATCATGCCAAGTTTCCACCAAAAACTGCAACAACCAAGATACATAGAGGAGAGGAACTAGAGTTTCCATAAATAAGGAATGGAAGCAACAAATCTACAAATAGTTTGCCGAGGAAGACTCCATACTCATGTACTATGTTCATGATTTTTGGATTAGGCGCAATATTTGTGAGATATTGGAGTTTTTTTATACTATTTTTTATAATAGGTTTTTTGTTGCCCTGTGTTTTATAGCAAAAGTGTTCGGCCCTTTTAAATGAATGTATTATGATTTGACACAACATGAGTATGAGTTTTTATTAAACCTTCATAAAAATTCTTATGCTTCTACACTTTCAACGATCAAAATATGGTTTTCTTGTTAAGTTCTTGAAAATATGTTTTTAATTTAATTTTAGAGGGTCTTACACCTATGCCTTATTTTTATTTTCAATTTTAGTTTTGGAGTGTTATGTTTTTACCCTTAGAATTTGTTAACAAAATCATTTTTCTAATGTTTTTATGATTAAGATTATATATCTTTATGCTTAAAACATGTCAAAATCCAATGAGTTAGATTTATGATTTCAACTAATCTTGTAAGTGGAGGATGTTATCTGATCTTGTCAATTATAGATACGCTTTTGACTTATACATGTTCATTAAAATAAAGCATTAACACTTGGTAAAGTGGCAAAAACTTTTTAAGTGAATGTATTTCATACACAATATAGAAGAAAAGCAAGTAGATATTTCTAATGTTTTTATTATTAAAATTATGTTTTTTCGATAATACGGGTTGTCGTGATAACTAAGATGAAAAAAAAAACATAAGAATCATTTTGCTTATTATAGATATACATTGAACTTGTTCATTTAAATATCCTTTAAAATAAAGCATTAAAGCTTCATGAAATGGTTAGACTTGTAAGTGAATGTATTCCCATTGGATACTAGCGGGTATTAATTCCAGTTATTGCTTTTCATAAAAATGTTTTTTCTCAACGGGTACATATAAAATTAAATATTTATTATTTTCAAACCAACTAGGTATTAGACTTAGTAAGAAAATGTGATATCATATCATATGAGACAATGAATAACGTTACAAATAAGAATCACTGTCGTAAGATTCATTATGCTTATGTATCAAATCCAATGCAGAAATGGGGTTTAATGCGACAATTGGGAGCAGCATAAAGAGAAGGAAGTACTCTTGAATATCAAGGGAGGTGCCTCCACCCCATTCATGTTTTCTCCTCTCTTAGTTATGGTCTGTTGTTAAGCTTAACTTAATTCATTAACAAGTAATATTGCAAATTTTTTGCAATTTCATTTTGATTCTAATATTAAAAATTATATGATGGAATAAAAAAATATATAATAAAAAAAATCTTTCTATATAATAGAGATAATAATTAATAAATTAAAAAAATTATGGAAAAAATACATATACACTGCTATTTTGTTCGGATAACACATGATATTTTTCTATTATTTATTATAATTTTTTATAGAATTATAGGTTTAATGTTTTGGAAGACATTCAAAAATTTATATAATATATATTTTGTTTAAAAATAAGAATATCTGTTTTATGCTCGATAGAATAATATTAATATCAATTGAGTACATTCAAAAATTTATTATTTAAAAATTTTAATCTTATATAATTTTATTCTTCTTTAAATGTATATGATATATATAAATATCATTAATCTTAATTTCTAAACTATATGAAATTAACCTAATATATATATGTTATTTAAAAATAATTAAAATGAATGTGGAATGAAATTTGAAAAAATAAAAATAAGCATGGAGAGAGTGTAAACGGAGAAATCAAGTGAAAAAAATAAAATTAGAGAAGAGAGATAAAGGAGGTTGGCTATGTCGGTTATCTACGGGGCGAATACCCGGACGTGTGTGGTGGCGCACAACACAACAGATCTTTAAATTCTTCTCCTTCGAATATCGATTTTCCTTCTCTTCTTCCATCAAAAACCCTAATCACATTCTCCCTCACCTCACTCTCCTACTATTCTCAATCCGTCACTCCCATGAGCTATCACATGGTGATTCGCTTCATCCTTTCCCCAACTACAATCCTTACACTTTACATATATTTTATGTTTCTACTTCTTGACTTCTCTCAGTTTCGTTAGTCGCTACTTAATCTAGGGTTACCAAGCACCACGATTCATGGGAAAAAAAACAACGCCCGAGAACAATTGAACTTGTTTCCTATCTGCTAAACAACGCTGTTCAATTTGGGGAATCGAATACACTGTGTTTTCTTTGTTTTATTTATTTTTTGGTTGGTGTTATCACTGGTAGATGTAATGCATCATGTGATGTAACTTTTCACAATTTAATATAAACGGTTTTCAAAATTCAGTGACGCCTGAAGGATTGAGTCCACCTTGATCATGCTTTGTGGGTTTTCCTTTGTGAGAGTCTGTCTTAAAGCATGCTGGTACTGATGAAAGTGTTTTCTGGTGACAGTTTTGCTGTTTTGTTTTATGACAACGAATTTCACTGTGCAAAACTGCAGAACTTTTTGCTTGTTCTCGTACATAGTGTGCCAGGAAGTGTAACTATTGCTCTTCAGTTGTAGTCGTTCAACTGATTCTACACCTTGCTATTTTATCGTCTGCATTGTATTAGATTATTGTTAAATTGTCTATCTTTTTGTCGTTTTGTTGTTGAAATATCTCCCATGCTATTTCTTATGATGAGTTCTTTATGCAGCAGAATAATGAGGATACACGCAGAGGTTTGAAAAGAAAGCCCCCATACATGGATCGAGGGCAAGAACGGGGACCTTACAATATGAATTCTAGACCTTATGACAGGAACATGGTTCCAGATGGTGGGTTCTTGTATTTATTTATTTTATTTTATATACAATACACTTGGTTATCAATTATAGACTGTTTCCGTTGTGAAGATGTTACATGTTAACTGTTTCACTTGTTCATTTTGTGAAAGTGTTAATTATAAACTGTAGGAATTGTGATATACAGACATAGTTGATGTCCTTTATTATAGAATCAGACTTTATTTTTTACCTATCATTATTCTTCTTTGAAAAATGTAAGTTGATTACAACGTTTGAACTCTATTTCAAGTCCCTATTGCATGAAGAAGACATTTTTCTTTAACAAATTTTCCATTTTATTTTTGTGATACATATAAAATATGTATGACTGATTTTCTATTAAGTTATGTTTTTCATAGTTGGTTTCAGGCTACAATTTTCTTTACAAAGTTGAAATCTCTTTTATTGCCCTTCATTCTTGTAATAACTATGATGTTGTGCTTTATTTTTTGTAGATTTTTACTTTTTGTTGGTTGTATATTACAGGTTGGTTTGACTGCCCAGCACATGGGCAAAAACTAGGACGCATAATCCCTTCGAAGGTTCCACTTGGTGAATCCTTCAATGATTACATTCCAAATGAAAAATATACTCCTACACAAGCTATTCATCAACAAAGAGTCTTAGGTCGAGAAGTAAGTGCATCAAATGGCCAGTAATGACATGTTATATTTTTTCACTTTATTGCTTCACAACATTTAAAGGAACATTTTATTATTCACATATTTATGTCACAATGCAATGTGCATTACATGAATTTGGTGTACTTAGGGAACTTTTATTTACATAAGATGGCTTAGATTGCAGTTTAGGATTTGGGGAAAAAGACGTAGAAACAGGAAGAATGAGGATTGTAGTAGTGTTTAAATTTTGTTTGCACTAATAAGCAAGAAGATCTGTAATTACAGAAAGAGCCAAATTTGCAACATTGTAGGTCTTTTAAGTTTTCTATCTGTTATGATTTTAAGTTGTGTCCTATGCATGAATACTTGTTTTCTTTGTAGTGTTATATACAATTTGTTTCAACCAGCTTCATAGTGCTTAACTTTATGTTTTTTGCAGCTTGGTTTAGTGATTGATTTGACAAATACTACTCGTTACTATCCATTATCAGATTGGACAAAAGAAGGAATTGGTCATGTCAAGGTAACATAATATCTTTCATCCTATATCATGAAATGTTAATTGCAATTTGACTTTAGATTTTTTATTTGCCTTGTGCAGATAAGATGCAGGGGAAAAGATGCTGTGCCTGATGATGACTCTGTAAAAAAATTCTGTGATGAGGTAGCTCCCTTTACTCATTCTTTTGATTGATGCTCACAATTTGATTGTCAAGTATTGTCTTCTTGTTAGTGTTCCTAACAATGGTGGTACAGTGCTTGATATCTTACTGGAGGTTTTATGATTTATACTTGTTAGATATTCGTTTTAGGTTCAAGATTTTTGCTCCCAAAGAAAAAATGAAAAGAAATATATACTTGTACATTGCACCCATGGGCATAATCGTACAGGTTATATGATTGTTCACTTTCTTGTTCGTACGGAATCTATATCTGTTACTGAGGTGAGTAAGTTTATTGGACAGTTCATAGTTTTGTTTTCAATACCTGCTTGACATGAGTAATTAATGTGTTTTATGCAATTTTGTGCTGGTTATCTTCTAGGCAATAAATAAATTTGCTTTGGCACGCCACCCAGGAATTTACAAGCAGGACTATATTGACGCCCTGTACATGTTTTACCATGAAAAAAAGCCGGAAGATCTTGTTTGTCCTCAAACCCCTGAATGGAAGAGAACTTCTGATCCTGATTATCATGGCACAACTGTTCCAGCTGTGGACAATTATGGACACATTCCAACACAGGTACACCTTGATGACTCAGTTTACTTAGCTTCTTAGTTATATGATTTGGAGTGGTTCCACTGGATATGAACACCTTACTTGGACGGATGCTTGAAATGTAACTTTCTTCCAACGAGTTTGTATGAGCATTAGTCTTCCAGTTAGTTATGTTTTAATTTTGTTGAAAAATATCTGATATGGCCTAAACATAGAATTGACTCACCTTTTACATCTTTCTATTTTCGTTGTTTAGACTTGAGCAAAAATGCCAAGTATATAATAAGAAAAACAATTCAATATTAATGTGTTCTCTGTTGACATAGAAATATGATTTTTTCTTTTACGAACCTTAAATCTGTGTACAATTTATTTTTGGTCTTCCTTATGTTTGGTTTGATCTTCTAGGAGAATATTGTGAGAAGTGAAGTATTGACAAATGATGATGTCTTGGGAGATCCAATTCCTCCAAATCAGCTCCGTGCCATGCAAGAAGTTTGTTATGAACTGCTCAAGTTAGGCACAGGGGTGGGTTTCTGAATTGGCTTTTTGTTGAATTCTATATATTTTCTTGAAAATGATTTAAACTCAACATACATGAGAAAATCAAGATTGCTGTTTTTTGTGTCACATGTTAAAACAATTCATGCATCATATCTATGATTTAGTTTTTGTCGGAATTAGTGTTTTGGAAATAGCAGCCGTTCACTATTTCCCCACAAAATATTAGTCTATTAAGAGTCTAAATGTATATAAGTACTGTAATGTATAGTTAACAAATTTCACTTAAGCAATACTTCCCCGTCTCTCTATTTCTCTCTGTCGTCCCCCCTTAAAGTTAATATAACTATCTATTTTACACAAATAAAGTTATGCAATCTAGAGCAATGAGTTGTATTTGATGTATCTCTGGAAGATTCTAAGAGAACTTCAAAGCCAAATAATTATTTGATTTGGAAACATTAGTTTCTTATGCATACAATTATTCCATGAATTAATTGCATTTTTTTTGGATATTTAATATTATCTCTTTTTAGGGAAGAGGACGTTCGCAGTTTCCTGGATCACACCCTGTTTCTCTGAACAGGTTCGATCTTAGTACATTTGATCATTTTGATTTGTGTTGCATTGAGAATAATACGAAAATTCGAAATGGACTCAGCTGTTTTACTGAGATGGACGTTAATTGTTTTTGTAATCTACTAAGTCCAAGGAATTAATAGTACCTAAAGTACATGCTCTCAATCGTCACTCATCTTTCAACTATTTAATTCGAAATTTGCATGTTTCATTGAAAGGAGCATCTGGTGCTTTTCATAAATTTTGTTTAAAGTACCATTTTTTTTCCCAGAAGTTTGAGTTGGCTGAGATTTTCATTACCACATTAAAAATAAAATCCTATCTATTTCTTAATAGAACTGATGGAGAAGAAGAATAACTAAGAGCACCATAATAGGGACTTTATAATAAATTAATTCTTACGGTGGGATGTCAATAAAGCAGTCATGGTTTGATACTATATTGAACTTCTAATGGTTTAATTTTGGGATGAATTATTTGTCAAAACCTTTGTGACTAATTTCCGAACATGCTGGAAATTCAAATTCCATATTAGCTTCTGTGAGTTAAACAAACCTCTGAGCCATTTTAATTTGCATTTACATAGACAAGTGAACAAAATATTCATTTGATACATTTGAGTCAGGAGAGTTCTTTTATTAGAACTTGATTGTAAATCCAAATCTCTATCTTTGTTAATTATCTACGTTGGTTTTATCAACTGACTCTAGATCATTGCTTTTTTTTTGCAGGGAAAATCTGCAACTCTTGAGACAACGATATTACTATGCCACGTGGAAAGCTGATGGGACACGCTATATGATGCTGATTACTTGTGATGGATGTTATTTGATTGATAGAAAATTTCTTTTCCAAAGGATCAATATGCGATTTCCTTGCAGATATTCAAATGGGGTATGCATGTTTATTCAGTTTTTTGTTGTCGATTGTGTTTTATCTGTCTTGGGTATTAGGAAGGAAGCTGTGTCTTGTCTTTTGTAAATTTTGTTTTAGATTCTATAAAAGATAACTCAATTGTTTTAAATCACTATCATTTCAAGAGTACACCTGAGAGGAATCACCACTACACATTACTTGATGGGGAGATGATTATTGACAGGGATCCACAAACCAATAAGCAAGAGAGAAGATACCTCATTTATGATTTGATGGCAATCAATCAGGTCTCTTTAACAGAGGTACACATTTATTGACAACTACGGTGTTGAGATATTATTTGACTTCTTGGTTGATTTTTCTTACTCCTATTACATTTTATGAAATAAAGAAATTTTTATTGGTTAACTCTTGTTTATGTTTGCTATTTTGAGTTGCTATTTAGTGGTCAACCAAAACTAAATGTATCCCTGATAAGGTATTTGTATTTCAGTTAACTAAAGTGTCTTCTAACAATCCTGTAGTAAATGCTTCTACTTGAATTTGAAACAACCTCTCAATTGTGGGTCCTTTTCTTAATAATAGAAAACCTGGATCACAAGTAATCCATAATTTTGGGATCTGGTTAGACATTGCAAATAGTGATATAATTTAAAGCATCATCATCAAAAAAGCGGTGTTTTGTTTGTTAACTTGTAATTAATTACTGATGCGATAAAAATATCAGATACTATTTAATATTTCTGGGAGTGGTTCCAACGAAGTCCGGCTTCAACTGTGAATTATGTAATGTATTCCAATGAGAGTATTTGGGAAGTTGGTAAAACATTAGAAAAAGGACATAATATACTAGATAACATACGCCTGGAAACCTGTAAGTCTTTGGATTGATGTTCACACTTGTGCTTGGCTGACTTTTGACCTGACCATTTGGTCTAATACGTGCAGCTTCCGTTTTATGAAAGGTGGAAACTTCTGGAGAAAGAAGTAATTGAACCTCGTAACATGGAACGAGATGGCCTTTCAAAGAGTACAAATCCTTATTATAGATATGATTTGGAACCATTTAGTGTATGTATAATGATTATTTTACTATTGTATTTTCAGAAACATATTTCAGTGGGATAAGCTATTTTTTTTATATTTTCATATTTTTGTTTTAGGTGAGGAGGAAGGGATTTTGGTTACTATCTACTGTGTCAAAGCTCCTTCATAAATTTATTCCACAATTATCGCATTCATCAGACGGTCTTGTATTCCAGGTAATAATTAGTGTTTCTATAGGACTGAAATTCTCAAGTTGAGCTTGGGTGTATGAGATAGTTGGATGAACACTTGGCTTGTAGGAAACACCAGGTTTTTTTAAGGATGATGTACTGAACAGATGCTGTACTAGGAATAGTCCAGATTTCTGAGCTCTTATTTCACTAGTTTTAAATCAATATTGATTTTTAGAAATCTAAACACTGACGTAGTTTTGGTTTATAAAGAATGCTAACCACCTGAGAATACATCACAAATATGCATATATGCTGTTTGTTTTATCTACTTGCCCGTTATTAATATCGATAGATTCTATTAGGGTTGGGATGATCCATATGTCCCTCGCACACATGAAGGTCTTCTGAAGTGGAAATACCCTGAGATGAACTCTGTTGATTTCCTCTTTGAGGTTGTACAAGTACTTCATCTCAAGTTCAAAATTTTAATTAGTTTATGTGGTATATTCTTTTCTAATATGACAATCCAATCGTTGACTATGCCTTTGTTTTGACAGGTGGGAGCTGGGGATCGTCCCTTGCTTTTTCTGTTTGAACGTGGAAGGAAGAAGTTAATGGAGGAGAATGTTATTTTTAAAGGTTGTACAACTTTTACCATCATTATTATTTTATACGAACATAATGTATGTAATTAATGGCATTATTAGTATTTGTCCAGATGACAACTAATTGCATGAACTACCGATTTTGGCCATAATTGAATTGCGATCAGTAGTGAAATATATTTATTCCATCTGCAAGACTCCCTTCGCAATTGAATCCGTCTAAGCTAGCTATAACATAATTCCCCAGTTTATTTAACTGAATATCTGAAAAAATCAAGCGATGATTTGCTTTTAATTTTTGCCTCAATGATTTTCAGATGCATCAGACATTTCTTCCTATTCAGGAAAGATCATTGAATGCTACTGGGATTCCGTGGGTCGTCATTGGGTCTGTATGCGGATCAGAATAGACAAAGCAACTCCAAATGATATCAATACCTATAGAAAGGTTATAATACCTGTTATACTTTTCAATTCTGTTATGCAATCTTCTTTGGTTGTGTATGTTTTTTGTTTGACTAACATGTGAATGGCCTCTTAAACAGTTTTTGTAAATTTTTTTAATACAGGTAATGCGAAGCATAAAGGATAACATCACAGAAGATGTCTTACTGAATGAGATCAATGAGACAATTTGCCTACCCTTGTATGCCGACAGAATACAAAGGGATATCAAGGCTCACCAGCACATGGTCTCTTCTAGGCGCAAGTGAGTTGTATAATAAAAGCTAAGATTGATGAATGTCGTATGTTTATTGAAAGAGCAATCAAGTCTGCTGAATGAAGTACCAGCCCAGAAGCTGTACATTTGTTGCCAAGAGATCGTATTGTGCTGCAACTTGTCAGCCTCGTGCATAACATAGGAAACAAGTTTAGGTTCTATGATTTTGTTTGGCTAACGAGATCTTGGCTTTGGTCGCTGTTGTATATTATCAATTTTGCCTATTATTTCTTTTATTTTATTTTTATTTACAGCAGATCATAATATCATATTGGAAAAATGCTCAACACACGCCTTTAACAGGATACAATAATTCAAGATTTCACTACTTTATATTCTTTTAAAAGGAACTTGTAGTATTATATTTGACACTTGATAGATGTGCTACAGATGACACAACTGTGATACAGGTACTGATGTTGTTGTTTAGATCTTAAGACCACAATTGAAGTCTTTAACTGGGGTTGATGTGACTAATCCAGCCCAATTTTCATAGCTTCAAGTAGACTTGTAGTCTGTAAAGTGAAAAGTGTACCTTGTATAAAAAGGAAGTGATATACGAACATCATAATATGAGATATTACAAAAACTTTTCAAGACAATTTTTTTCCTATCTTTTATGAAATTATAGTCTATTATATGTATATTTTTATTTATTTATCTATAAAGGTGTCAAATATCATATACATATATTTAGTAGATATGTATACATCTTTATCTGTATTGATAAGGTAGTTCAGCGCCACATTCTACAAGTGTACTTTATGCATGCAGCATATTAAAACAGAAGAGAACAAAAATAGTTGCATTGCACCGACAAAATTTGATATAGGTGGATGTAATTGGTTCAGTTCTCCGGGAATAGCATTGTATTTATGTCCTCAACGTTCCATCACCAACCACTGTTTCGTTATCTCCGTCCCGGAACCTTCCAAAATGCCTCTTCTGCCTCTCTGCAGCATGCTCTTCTTCTTTGCCTTCTTGCTCTTCCTCCCTCTGACACCCACATTCCAAATCCCGTTGGTAGCCCCAGTCTCAAAAGACCCCTCTACCCAACTCTACACCCTCTCCCTCTTCCTCAAAACCCCACTCCAGCACACCAAACTCCACCTCGACCTCGGTTCCTCCCTCGCCTGGCTCCTCTGCGACTCCACCTACAACTCCTCCTCCTCCCACCACATCCCCTGCAACGCCTCCCTCTGTGACTCCTTCCCCTCCAATGCCTGCTCCAACGACACGTGCGCCCTCTTCCCGGAAAACCCCCTCACAAGAACCACCCTTCTCGACACCGCCCTCGTCGACTCTCTCGCCCTTCCCACCTACGACACCTCCTCTCAGAGCCCACTCGTTCTCATTTCCGATTTCATCTTCTCCTGTGCAACGGCCCATTTGCTCCAAGGCCTCGCCACCAATGTGACCGGACTAGCCGCTTTGGGCCGGTCCAATTACTCCCTCCCGGCCCAAGTAAGTACGGCACTAAGTTCCCCGCGTTCTTTCTCTCTATGCTTGCCTTCTTCGTCCAACACAGGCGCAGCTATCTTCTCCTCCAACACCATCTCTTACTTTTTCTCTTCCAAAATTGAGCTCACTTACACACCCCTAATTCTAAACCCCGTCGCCGACACTGTCGTCACCCACAACTCACAACCGTCCGATGAGTATTTCATAAACCTCACCTCCATCAAGATCAACGGCAAAGCCCTTCCCATCAACGCCTCCATCTTAACCGTCGATCAAACCGGCTTCGGTGGGACCAAGATCAGCACTGCGGAGCCCTACACCGTTTTGGAAAGCTCCATTTACAAGTTCTTCGTCCAGTCTTTTGTCAACGAATCCTCCGCTTTTAACTTAACGGTGACGGAGGCCGTTGAGCCCTTTGGCGTGTGCTACCCTGCGGGAGACCTCACGGAGACCAGAGTGGGACCCGCGGTTCCGACCGTTGACCTGGTGATGCAGAGCGAGGACGTGTTTTGGAGAATCTTCGGGGGCAATTCGATGGTGAGGATTGAAAAGGGGGGAGTGGATCTGTGGTGCTTGGGTTTCGTGGATGGTGGGAGCCGTAGGAGGACGGGCGTGGTGATTGGAGGGCATCAATTGGAGGATAATGTAGTGCAGTTTGATCTTGACTCAAATAGATTTGGTTTCACCTCGTCTCTGTTGCTCCAGGGTGCCAAGTGTGCCAATCTCAATCTCACTACTTTTCCTAATCGCATAAAATAGTTCCAATCAAAACAATGTACAGGATTTCCCAGTAACTTAATAACATGTTTCATTAGAATGTTGTAATTAACTATTCCAACCATTCCTTACTACTTCCCATGTGTTCTTGCAACATACACTTCACCTCCACATATAGTAACTTATTAACCATGATTTCACTGCAAAAATTACTCAAAACAGATACTTCTTCCCTATTTGTAGGTCCTACACAAGCGTAAATGGTTTTCTGGCTGAAGCTAATGTGCACGAGTTAAAAACAAGTACCTCATCTCCATTTTATCAATTATAGAGGCAATCCTCACTCTCGTTCAACGCACCTGAAATATGTCACATCTCAACAGAGTCGGGTTTTTTTTTTAATGACAAGTATAAGATGCTTTATCATTGGGAAGTGGTGGGCTTGTCACCCTACAGCATCTCATAACCCATGAATTTCATTCTCTCACATGGAAACCAACCAAGACAAGGAAGAGACCTGCACACTAATATTAATCATCTGTCTCTTTCAATTTATTATTTTTATCTTATATCATAATTTAAATTATTCATAAGAAATCAATAAATAATTTATATAATATAGAAACTAAAATACTTATTTACATATATATAAATATTGCCCTCACCACCTACATCTATTGGTTTGTAAATTGTATGTTCATTCGATGAAAAGTTTACTATAAGACCGGTGAATAATTGGAAATTGTTTATGAATTCTATTACACTGTTTTGAAAAATCTCTGACAGGGATTTCTGCAAACAAAGATCAAAGCATTTGTGTGAAAGTTAGTTCAAAATCGTGTTCCCTTTTTGTTGAAATTATAATACGAGGGAGGGTTTATGCCAAAATCAGAAACTGTTAAAAAGTTTCACAGGAAGGAGGAATTTGCAGTTCATTTATTTTGAAATGCTTCTTTCCCTCAAAGGCTCTGATGCTCTGCTTGCAACAGTGGGAAATATTGTCAACCTTCCACCATCAATATAGAATCTAATTTTCTCTCGTGTGAGGGGTTGGTCCCATGTGTTCACGTAAAGAAATATTGTGACAAGTGGTATGGTATGTTTTTATATTGTGAGGAAGCATCTGAAGACAAGTGGTTCTACTATCTCTGTTTTTCCCCTGTTCCGGTGGCAAACCATGTAACATTTATTTATACTTTCTGCGTCACATTCAGAACATGTTGTGGTGAGAAAATGAGTCAAAAGGAATGTGGATGCAAACCATGTTATTGTGTTGTGTTGTTATATACTAAGTGGGTGTTATTTGGAATTCCGGTGCCATCTTGAAACGCTTGTGTCATATTCTGCTCTGAAACAATTGTGGAACACCATGTGCCATGATGCAATGTGACAGAGAATTTAATTGGATATAAGCACCTGTTTCACGAAGGAGTTCATAAAAGGTAAAGGTTGATCATGCACTTATTTTGGTTAAGCCAAGGTGCATCTCCCCAAAACAGAAAACATGTTGCACTAACCCTGTCTCGTCAACACCAAAATCATGCTCACATGCTGAACATAAATGCAGATATATGGATCAAGTCTTTGCCGCCATTACGTTTCTGCATGGAATATGTTCATAAAAAAAGTTCTATTACATACAGAAAATAGATAAACTCTTACAAGTCAGAAAATGAGAATAGAGATGATAAAAAGTCTCAGGAAAAAAAAAATCGGTGCTTAATATTGTTAATTAATTTGCATCTTAAGGAATTTTCTGCTTAGAATTCATTTGGGTTTTTATCTCACTTTTATTCAAATTGGAAAAACTCAGGTCCATATATATATATATATATATATATATATATGTTAATGCCAAAATTCAACTTATGAGTGAAAAAGTTCCTCAGTTTATAACTAAATTTTTTTAAGTTAATTACATCTAATTATTCTTTTTAAAATTGTATTAGAGTTTATTTTAATTTCATTAAAAATTACTTACCCTGTCATTTTCATACTGAGCCCTCAATAGTGTTAGAATGAAAAAGTGTTTTTGGAAAAATTCAACACCCCACATTAATTAAAGATAGTGACATAATATAATATATAATTGAGAACGATTTTTATATTTACAAGTTATTTTTTCCTAGAGTTTCTAATTTTGTTTTGCAATAGTTATATCATAGGAAAATGTTAGAAATATAAAACATATCTAATATTTAATATTATCTCAAAAAAATTGTGTTACGTGATAACATATTTTTTCTTATAATTTTTGGCAATTTCAAAATTGTCATTAAAAATATCATAAAAATGATGTTTTATTTTATCATACTTTACCATTTTTAGTTTATATAAAAAAGTTTAATTACTTGTATTCTTTCAAATTTTAATTTTAATTTTTAGTATTTTCCATTAATTTAGACAGTTAAACTTAATAGTAAGCAATTTTTTTCACACAATTCATATTATTGTTTTATTAAAATTTTAATCTAATTAAATAATTTATTTTCTTCTCAAAATTTATATTAATTGGGCAGGTTCAGTTGGAGCCAAGTCAAATAATTAATATTATATGATGTTAAATCCTGTCAATAAAATGTAGAATAATATTATTTTTAAGCTATCATGTTTATTTATTTTTCTTATTTTGTTAAATTATAATAATATTTTAAATTTTTTTATTAAACATGTTATTTCAATATCTAATCTTATTAATTATGAGATAAGAGTATATATAAATTATCATTTATTTCAATTTTTAATTTAGGTGAGACTAATGAGTTTTTTTATATTAGTATAAAAAAATTCCTTTATATTTTAATAAATTGAATGCACCCAAAACTTGGATTAAGCTGAAATACTCAGTGTCTCATTCTTTATAGTTGCACGTTACCTTTAAGAGAAAGATTAAAAAAAAAGGAATAAGTAATGCAATGAAAAAGAAAATTAATTATAAAATATAATGTTTTAAAAATTAATTAACGATTAATCTAGTCAAGAAACCCATCGCATGTTCCAATCAATAATCACATCGTCCAATAAATAAATAAATAAATAAATAAATAAATAAATATATATATATATATATATATATATATATATATATATATATATAAATTTTGATAAACTGTTACATCATTTATAACTTTTTATTAAAATAGTTTTTTTTTTCAAAATTAAAGGTTTTCATTTCATACAATTTGTATATACAAAATTCATATTAATATAAATTATTTTATGCTTTATTTTTATATTATATGTTTTTCAAAATATATACTAAAATATGATAATTCAACCACTTTAATTATTGCTAAATTTTAACATAAAAGAAATATAATGATAGAAACTTATAATTTATTAGTTAAATCAACAAAATTCAATTTTTATATAAAACAATTAGTGATATATCGATTGATAGGAGTTATATTAGTGTTGTTTTTTCATCTTTATACTATATATATATATATATATATATATATATATATATATATATATATAATTATAAAATGTATATAAAAACATAAGTTAACTCACAAGCTAATATTTATAGTATCAACTAAATTATCATGTTAAAATTAGGGGTATGGATAATTTTTTAAGTTTTTATCTATTAATTAATATTTTTATTAAATAAATTTTTATAAATAATTATATTTATGTGTTAAAATATTTAATTATAATTTAAATTTAATTAGTTACTATTTAAATTATAATATTATAATATATCTATATATTTTACCACTATAAAAAAATATAATATTTTTAGTTATACATTTTTATATTAATTATAATATAAATATTTATTAAAATTAGATTAATGGATGAATCCGTTCGATGGATGAAATCAATTTAGATAGCTAGGGTTTCACGAGAAAGAAAAAAAAGAAAAAAAAAGAAGAGAGTAGGAAGTAAAATATTAGTGATTTACGTAAATGCAAATACTTTGAACTCTATTTTGTATTGCATGTGGAAAGGCTATATATTTAAATCCAGGAAAAGATTTTGCTGACAACTAAAAAGTATTATTTTCTTTTATTGAAAAGGAAAGTAAGTAAGATAAATAAATAATAATATATTATAGTTTATAAATACATGTTTTAATTTTTGTTCGGAATGAAAATATCATCACTCATTAAACCCTATATATCTTTCTATGATCTTGTGAGATTGGAGCTAGATCCTTCCTAAGCTCAAATTCTCTACGTGTATAAGAGACAAATTTTCCAGATAAAAAGAAACGAATAACAAGATCTTAATTATCATCATATATACTTTCCACAATTTTATGCCCTACTTATACAGCCCCACTGCATACAAAGAAAGAAAAAGAACCTTGTGCTCACGGTCCACTCATTTTGTTTCACAAACACCTTCATTAGCTACCTTCCTCTTCTCACATGTATTCACAAACTTTATTCAACAAAATTACCACAAACTTTAACTGCATCTTTAGTTGCATCTGATCACATATATATCTATCTATAAATACATGTCTCACTTAATAAGCCAAACATGCACTAATTGTGTCTCTTTGTTTTCAAAAACCAAGGAGTAATGAAAGAGTTTGTATTTATTTATGTATGTATGTATATGAGATGCAGACAAGGATAAATATTCCTGCATAATATATAATATCGAGGGTTGAAAATCGCTTACCTGATAGCTACATACAGTTGAAAAGAGAAGATGGAATCTACCCGAGACCGCGTCACTAATTTAAAACTATGGAATATTTTGTGATGACCACTATATGTAATATCTTCTTCACTGATAATTATTCCTAGACTTTGTTTTACAATCTTCAACAAATCGGGGCAGAGAGTGATTCTTTTCGTCCCTTTCACCCTGCCTCATCACCTTTATAAATACCCTCAACAACCACTGTTGTCAATCTCACATTTTGCACAACTGAAGTTCCTTTCAAAAATTTTGAACATACGTGATATATATTTGTGAACACTTTATTCTTCTAGTTTTCTTACTCTCGGTTAATTTAGCTTCTGACCCTTTTGTTCGATGACCATGACCATGTCAAGAGTGATGTGTAGACCAACACAGCCTCTGAAAAACGTTCCTTCCAGTGGACAAATCCCGATGATGAGGCCAAAAGAGAAGGTGGTGTTGGTGATGGGAGCAACGGGGAGCGGGAAAACGAGGTTGTCGGTGGACCTAGCAACATGTTTTCCATCAGAAATCATAAACTCTGACAAAATGCAAGTCTACGAAGGGCTTGACATTGTCACCAACAAGGCCTCCAAAGAGGAGCAGCGTGGGATCCCACATCATCTGTTGGGGACACAGAACCCCAACATGGAGTTCAACGCCTCGGATTTCTGCGACGTGGCCTCACGCGCCATCGAGTCCATCACGCGCCGGGACAAGGTTCCGATAGTGGTGGGAGGGTCCAACTCGTACATGGAGGCGCTGGTGGAGAGGTTCGGTCCGAGGTTTGAGTGGTGCTTTCTGTGGGTCGACGTGTCCATGCCTGTGCTCCATTCCTACGTGGCGCGGCGCGTGGACGACATGCTCGGTGGCGGAATGGTGAACGAGTTGAGACCGTTTTTCAACGTGAACGGGGATTACTCGCGAGGGATTCGGAAGGCCATTGGGGTGCCGGAATTCGACGCGTATTTCCGGCGGGAGGGGGTGGCAAGCGGCGAGACGCGGATGAGGCTGCTTCAGGAGGCGGTGATGGACGTGAAGAGGAACACGTGTCACTTGGCATGCAAGCAACTTGGGAGAATCCACATGCTCCGAAGTGTTAAGGGGTGGAAGATCCACCGCGTTTGCGCCACGTCGGTGTTTCAGAAAAGTGGGCACGAGGCGAATGAGATGTGGAAGAACATGGTGGCGCAACCTTGCGCCTCCATTGTTTCTCAGTTTCTCTATAGTTCTTCCCATGCTGCTTCTGAGAGAGTCGCACCTTCTCTGCAACCAAACTAAACCAATATGCAGTTAAACCTAATACATAATTCTATTTCGTTGTTTCAATCTTCCTGTTTGTGTGTATCAAGAGTACCTGTTGAAATTATTCGTTAGTCTAAGATCATTACATGTTCAAGGTCTTGGTCGATCTCAACTTGACACATATCAAATTAATCTTTTAGTTTACTACAAAAATTGAGACCAATACTTGATTATGTGTTACGTTGAGATTTTCTGTGGACAATATAATAAGTTCTTCTTAGATCGATCTTTACATTTAAGTGTTTAGTTGGTTCTGTATTGAATATCTAAAAGAAAATGTTATAGCTCTGTTATTTTTACTCCTCATATTATGTTTTAATTATTGTATCAATTGAACTTTGTATATACAGTGATTATTTGATTTTAGTTATTACAAATATGACATTAACTTATGATGTATGTAAAACATTAAAATTACACAATTATTAATTAATAGATTCAATCAGCACATATTTAGAATCTAAGAGTGCTTTGTTTCATAAATTAAAAATATATTCACGAATATAAAGTTGAGAATGTAGTATTCTCATGTTTGTTTGGAGTTTTAAGGAAACATTATTGGGCAATACTCGAAGGTGATTATACCAGGTTTTGTTCTATTTTTATTTTGCATTGGCATACGGTGTGTATCCTTGAAAATAATTTATAATAAAATTGTGATGAATTATAATTTTAAAGAAGATAATAATTAAATGTGTTAATTATGTCAGAATTATCATAAAGTTGAGACTATCTCTTCTATCCTTTAATTTTTTATCGAAGATTATATTTTAATATATATTTATAAATCTTTATTATTTAAAAGTTAAAATTAATTATAATTTATATATATCATTTCCTCTTATAACCCACTAAATATAAATATAAGTAAGTTTTATGGTATTAAATAATAATATAAATAAAGTTATTACTAGATATTAATTAAAAAATAGTTTGATATAGACTAAATCAATATAAAAAATAATCATATATCTGAAAAGAATAATATTGAAAATTTAAATATAAATTAAAATATTATATTAAATATCAATGAGAAGTTGAGTATTTTATAGACAAAAACTTATAATTTAATATTTTAAGTTTTTAATTGAAAATAATATTATATTTTTTATATAATTTACTTGAATCTCTTTTCTGAAAATATCTACGTGTTTAATTATAAAAATAATATACATGATGATAAATTTATATATTACAAGTTTTAACCTAATTTTACTCAGAATTACAATAAAAAGATAAAGTGATTAATTGTATGTATGAAAATATAAACAAATGATTTTCTTTTTGATATTAGTTAAAAGAAAATAAGACAAAGAAACAAAGAAAAACACCAATGATTTAGCTCTGTAGAGGTTGGTTTATTCAACTAACTTTTCTGTGTTACTTTTATGCCTTTTCCTTCAAGATAAAAAATAATATGTAAATGGGATGAAAATGTTTCGTAGCACGAAAATTAAGGTGTATTGATTTTGGCAAAGCTCAACCTTTTGACTTTCACCCATCTTTTATGATTATTGGAATCCTGATTGGTCAAATATTGCAATGTTTTCATGCAGATGCTTTTTGACACATGCTATGCGAGAAGAGAAAAATCATTTAAACTTTATTATTATTATTATTAAGCTTGTAAGAAAAACAGTGAAATAAATAATTTTGATCCATTTATAAGCTTGACTATTTATTTACATTTTGTTTTTTTTATATTTAATTAATGTATATCTAGACAAAAATATCCCTAAGTATCAACTAATTATTGTGTATTTTTAAATGTAAATAAGTGTATATTAACTACTTTTAATTTCAATTATATGTAGGATTATCGTTAGAAAAAATAGCTTCAAAACTACAAAAAAATCTATTTTTAAAAACTCACTTTTTTGAAACATATTAAAATCACATATTGAAATAGCTTTTTATAATATATCTTTTTCCATCACACATTGAAATCAATGTATGAATAAAATTATCGTTTTGTTTTCAAAATCGTTTCAAAAATCACGAGGTTATTGGCTCAATCTAAATCCGCATTTTAAACTTGCAAAATGTAATTTAGTTTTTATGATCTTTTAAAAATGTGTAAAAAGTTGATAATTGTTTGGTAAGTAATATTATTGGCCCTCTTAAAAATAAATAAATATTTCATTAAAAAAGACCTCTCATCCTAATATAATAGTGCTAGGCTTAATTTATTTTGGGAGATTTTAACATTAAAAATAATTGTAACAAACAGAATTTTATTTTACATAAAGTAAATATTTTTAAAATGAACAGAATATGAAAAATTAAATAAAATATTAGTTTTGGAATTTTTCCTGCAATATATCTTATTTATTTCAAATCTTAAAGATTTGAAAAATGTGCACCTTCAAACATGTATGGCTTATAAATCATTAATTTTTAGCTCACGTAATTATGAAATTATTAAACAACTTTAACTTCATTTTAAAAAAAACACACTTTCATCTTTAATTTTAACATTAAAAAAATATATAAATATAATTGGTTTTCTCTTTTTTTACAAACTATCCATCTTAAAGTATTCGAAAGAAAATAATTTTTGTCATAATTTTGACGAGTCTTTTTATAAGTTGAAACAAATATTATGTTACTATATAACGGCTTAAGTTTCCAACATGCTTTGGAAAATGTTTTCTAACATTTTTCAAAGATAGCTTAGATTTCATGGAAAGTTGAGTCTTCATTTTGAATCACCAATCATAAAATAGTGGTCGGGAATGTTTATATTACTGTTACAGTCAGGGTGGACAAAAAAAAGTACGTTTAGAAGAAAAGGTTGAAAAAAATTATTTATCAAAAATCACTTTTAGACTAAAAACACGTTCAAAATATTTATGGTAGCATGCATATAACTTAAAGCAAAAAATGGATTAAAAAGTAATAAAAGACGAAACAAAGAATTCGGTGTGGACTATTCATGCATGCGGATATACCTTAGACCATTGACCACTTTCTCTAATTTTTTTTTCTTCTTCTTTCATTTTTAATATATATATATATATATATATATATATATATATATATGAATTCTAGAAAATTTCACAAAAAAATCTCAATTTTTTTATGAAATATAAAATATTTTTGGTATTAGGAAAATCAGAACAATGCATAAGGAGATGTCAGGTGATACTAAATTTTTCGACGATAAGATAAATTAGTGTAATATAGACAATGTAGGAAGATTTTGTATAATTTTAAGAAACATTTAGTGATTAATTTCTTTTTTTTTTCAAATAAAAATATTTATTGTTTATTTAACAAATTTAATTATTTATCGTTGTTTATAAAATACTTCCATTTAGCTTGTATTTAATAAATCAACAGAAATGTATTTAATAATTAATATCAAATAATATTTTAAATATCATAAAAATGAAATACATGTCACCTTTTTTATTTTGCGTGAAAGTTAAAGGATTTAAGAGGAAAATACCTAGGTGGATTTTTTTATATACTTTTATTTGTAAAAAAATTAATATTTTTAATACAACGATTGAATTCAGCATCAGTTTTCAAAATAGTGATGAATATAACTACTTAAATTAGATTGCAAAAGTTTAATTAATAAATATAACATTATTTTAAAAAATATATATTTTTAACAATCAAGTATTATTAAGAGTTCATAACTATAACACTACACAATATATACTTTTACATTTACAGTATTTGTTGTAAAACATCCATTATTTTTTAGTTTATACAATAATTTTATTATTAAGCAGTACGTAAAATTAAAAATTATATGTAAATTCATTTGAATCGACTTGATTCTATCCATATGATATTATCAAATATTTGATTAGGTTGATTAAGTAATGTGAATCTAATTTTAGATATGATTAGGTTAAATTGAACTTGATTAAACTAAATTAAGGTTAAGAAATTGAGTTAATCTATATCGCGTCTAGTTAAACAAGGTTAGAAGAATAACATGTGATTTTTTATATATAATTTTTAATATAATATTATTTTTTTATATAATATGAAGATTAATTATGAAAAATTGTTATTTTTAATGTAAATCAAAATTTACCTTCATCTAATTTTTCAAACATTTAAAATTAAGTTATGTTTATCTATATATTTTTTAAAAGGTCCAATATATTCTATTTTAAAATTTGACCAAATATAAAAGTTTTTTTTTTCTATTAATGTGTTTTCCACTACCAAGTATTAATATGTACACATATAACTTCAAAATATCATAGTAAAAATTAACATGCCCATTATTATTTATATATAAATTCATCTACTCAAAATTATTATGTGGCTAGACTTTCTCCATGTGGTCAGGGAGCTAAAATATGTCCACTAAAGTCACTTAGAAATAAAAATAAATATTGTATTATTAATTTAAAGATTGATTAAAATATTTTTTAAAATATTTTAAATAATTTTATCCAATTTTAAATAAAAGATCACAATAAAATATTTTTTTTATTTTTAAGTAATTTTTGTTATAACAGTTATAAAAAAATTATTAATAAGAATTATTAAAAAAATATTTTATTAAAAAATTAAATATAAATATTTAAAAAATTAGTAAAAATTATTTATATAAATAAATTTTTATAATTTTAAGTAATTTTTATTTTTTAATTTTAAATAACTAATATACAAGATAATATAATAAAATATTGAATTTTAATTTTAAATAACTCTCATTATCAATTCACTCTAAGGATATTTTAAGATAACTTCAGTTTATAGATAGAAATACTTTTCCTATATAGCAATGTTAATTAACCTATATATATATATATATATATATATATATATATAATTAAATTGTTTGATAAGAAATTAATAGTTTATTTTAAAAATATAATATACTTAATTTAATTTTATAAAATCGATTAAGGAGATTATTACAATATTGACGTGAGATTTGTCAACCGTTAATATATCACCACTCTTTATTTTATATGAAGACTGTCTTTTGGTGTCTGTCCATGAATTCTTTTGGTATAAAGTGTGTAACTTTGGTCCCAAAATCTGTTTCAACTTTACTTGTAGTTTAGGGAGTGTTATATGAAATAGAATGCTGTTACTTATGTAGTTTACTAAAGCTAATAAAATATATAATTTCGACAAATATATTGAATTTTTTTTTTTTTTTATAAATTGATGACTCTTGACTAAATACAAGAAGCATGGTTGTTCTTTCACTACTCCACAAAAGACTTTTTACGTCGGTTAAAATAGATTTTCTACGTCGGTTAAAGCGGCGACATAGATACAAGGGTCATAGAAAGTAAGACTTTCTATGTCGATTAGTCAGGGAACCGACGTAGAAAGTTTTACTTTCTATGTCGGTTAACACTGATAACCGACATAGAAAGTCTTACTTTCTAATTTTCTATAACCCCAGTATCTATATCGGTTAACAGTAACCGTGATTGTATGTGATATCAATGTCGGTTATGCTTATAACCGACATAAAATGTTAAACTTTCTACGTCGGTTATGTCATTAACCGACGTATAACCGACGTAGAAAGTGTTATTTTTTTTTACAGAACCTGCATTTTCTTCACAGATCCTACCTTTCTTCGAGTAGACCTGCCTATTCATCATAGTTTCAGACAAATATTCACAGTTCTAAACACTTGTACAGATAGATATGCATAGTTCATATATAGTTTCAGACAGATATGTACATATATGAAACATATTGAAATCAATATATATGTACCTCAGTTCCAAACAGTTCATTTACTTAAACGAATGTAAATTTGCTAACTTAAATCAATTCAATCAAAATTGTTACAAGTTAAATTTGCTATGAAGATTGAATACTTAAAAGGAAAGAAGTCCACTTCTCTCTAATATCGTCTAACACTTCAATCTTCAATGGAGATGAGTCTGTAAATTCCTACATATTGAAACATTTCAGATTTAGAAATCATTTACATAATTGGCATATTTGACTTAATTATAGTATATTTATCTCCCTCCATGAGTCAATAATATTTTTGGCTACGATGGTGTGCATGTGCTTCATCACATAATACCCGCACTCGTGGCTTCCCGGTTGGCGTGGACACTACAAGTTAAATACATGTCAGATTAACTTTAAATGACAAATTGAACAACAGTAAGAGGAATGTTTGGTCACCTTTGGTGCAATATACGTCAACTTCTTTCTAGCATGAGATGGAAGGTCTTGCAACCTTAGGTGAGCTTCCAAAGCTCTACAAAAGGACAAATAATTTTGGTGTAAGTGCACATATGATACAACAATTAAAAAAACCAAACTTACGCGTCTATGTGCTTTCTAATATCCAAATCATTTGGTTTCTTGTGTAATGAACACAAGAGAATCACAACAAATTGCCGAGGAACAATGATTATGAGCTGCCAATGACCCCTGCACGTTGAAATAATATTAGTAAAATTTCAGTTTTACATAAATGTGCATTAATTTATAAGATGTATACTTACTCATGCAAGTAAGGTGCTAAGTAGACTTCTTTGCCCCCATTTTGAAATGTCTCTATTAAGTACGTTTGCACCTCTTCAGCTTTATTCCCAACGGACTGAATGGCAACAGGGTCAACAAATCCATAGATAAAGGCAATCTTCCTCTCAACACACAAACGATGTAAATACCTTCAACATTGAAAATAAATAAAGTTATAAAATAATGTACCAGTGAGAATATCAAAAATATGTAAATTTACTTACAATTCCCAAAGCTGCAACACTGATACACATAGCATATCAGTACCGGCGAGAATATCAAAAATATCCCTTTAGAGTAAGAAAAAAGGGATCGTCTTGGTCCTGCATACGACTTCGGGTGGCATCTTGTCCAAGCTCACGAATCATTTCCTCCAGCTGATCATCCATCTCTAGATCAACTTCTTCTTTGTCTTCTACACTTGGCATGTTTAATAATTCACCATGCCATGTCCACTTTATGTAAGTCTTTAGGAAACCATCACAAAGAACATGTTCCCGAATAACTTCAGTCGGTAATCTTCGCTCATTCAAGCAGTTAACACACGGGCAATAGAATCTTCTATCATTATCCGTAACATTCATCTTAGCAAATTCAAGGAATTGTTCTACTTCACTCTCATATTCATTTGTTGTTCGTCTATAATTGATCCAACTCCGATCCATTGTTACCTTCTGTCACATAACACAACATATAAGTATAGTTTGAGGATGATAACATCCAACATGTTTTGCTGAAATTGCGATGTCACGTGATTGGATATTTTAATCTTTCAATAGGAAGTACTGTCCTACAATGGATCATTTCATGATTGACTCCAATCAAGGCTAACCGTATTGTCTCACATTAGGGTGGGCATAAGCGATGATAGTTTTCACTTAAAATGAAATAACTACATTATAATACAAATCTAATTTTCAAAATCAA